GCTGGATGCAGTGAAGCGAGAGGGAAGGACTGAGCAACCTGGTATCAAGTTTGCTAGATTGGATAGCAGGGAGCATGCTAGAAATGCAACCGTGTTTAAATGAAAACTCACAAAGGAAAATATCTCCAGGTACTAGATCTTCTACCTGACTTTTTGGGATTCAGTGTGGCATTGTGTGTCTATGCACAAAGTTGTATTTCTTTCTTCTTCATCTTATCTTCTTTCACTATTTTACGAAGTAAAAGGAAATTCATAATGTAATCTGGAAAACACATCTTTCCACAGCAAAATCTCAGAACTTTTCTTTCTTTGTAAGAGTGGAGAGCATCACCAGTACTGTAGCTTCAGGGCAATCACTCTCAGGACAAATCTTTCTGATTTGGTTTAGAAATCAGTGATATCAACCATTTTTGGGAGCAAAGAAACTGAAGAAAGATTTTAGAAGATAAAATACCTTCCAATTCAAATGCCTTTTAAGGCTCTAGCAATGGTGAATCAAACATACTCCACATTAAACTTGCCTGCAGCAAATAATTTTCCCTCTGTGTGCTTTAAAAAACAAGCATTTCAGCTTTAAATTTTATTTTGGAAAGACATGTAGCTCAGTGGTTACCAACTTTACTTTGTCTGCTTCTGGGCCCCAAAACACAGCTCTGATTAAAAGCAGGGATGTATTTTTTTCTCCTACTTTAGGAGGCATCCAACTCACTTTGCTCTGCACTGCAGCAGCTTGTAGGCCAGGGCATCAATTCAGCAAAACACTATAGTCAAAAGTCCTTCTCTTTTCCAGTCACTATTCAGAAAACAGGCCTTGAAATATATTTTCTTTCAGGTAAACATCTTTTTTTTTCCCTCCTAGGCTTAATTATGTGGCCTTTACATTGAAGTGGCATCAACTGGCACCTTTGAATGCCTCTACTGTCACAAAACATAAGGAAGATTCAAGGGAACACACAAAGTATTTTCCTTTACATCTCTTTTCCTTTTCTGCTAGCAGGGAAAAGCAAATACAGTTTGGAGCTGGTAGGAGTTGAATAGCGGTGTGTTCATTTGGGTTTTTTTGCTGCTTTAAAATTTAGTTTCACTTAACCATTTTTTTCAGGATAGAAAATAGACAGATGGAAGCAGTCATTCAAAGTTTATTCTGTTTGCTTAGCCTTATCAGCAAAATGGCAGCATCAATCTGAGGTCTAAATGACTCAGTAGTGAGTCTGGCAATACCCTCTACTTCATGTGGTGGATCACTACTGTAGTTACACTGTCCAGCTAAAGCAGCAGCATTCCAACTGTGCATACCATTACATTTGGATATAATTGCAGCCTTGTCTCACATCAATATCGAACACAGACCTTGTAAGAGTATCTCAAGCTATTTTAGCCTTTCTCTCTACTAAGTGTTTACCAAGCTATTCATTTGGATGCTACATGTAGCCTCTTTCACACTCACTTCTTAGGTCTTCAGTATGACACATAATCACTTGAAAGACAGCTAGATGCAGCCAGATTAGGACAGATTTTGTGCAATGTTTTTGATGCAAAACATTACAGTCAGTCTTTTTGCTTTCTGGGAGGTTTTGAGTACAAGGAAGGCCTTTTACTTCCACTGCATGATTTAGGGAGAAAAGAAAGAAAATTGCTGCTTGCCTTCCCAGACAATTAAGGGTAGAAAATAGCTCTGCTGCAATCTGTAGCAGTACATGAGTCACTATGAAGAATAAGTTTCGACATGACTGCAAAATTTCAACTTTAGTATCAGCAGGGTCGACAACCCTCAAGAGGTTTACCTTGCAAAGTTATTCTCTTGGTCCCTCTATGGTCACAGGCAGAGAGTAGCGTGCTGGTGGGTACTTGAGTCAACATGACTGTCTTTGCAGACAAACCTACCAGAGACTTTTGACAGAAGCTTGGTTACTGGAGTATAACCATGCTGTGAATTAACCTGCAATAGTGTAGTAATTTATGTAGCTGTGTTGTCACACTGTGTACAGAGCTTGGAAAGAGTCTCCTGTTTACTGCAATTGAAGCACTTATCCTTGTTTCAGCAGTAAACTGAACAGCTGCTAAAAATAGAAGCTATCGAGCTTCACAGTAAGCAAAAGGAATGAGTTGCATGAGATAATGATCTCTTAGTCCTGCAGAGAACCCGAGCAGACCTTGAGTGCTTCAAAATGCCTGCGTTGAGGTTGACCTTTTCTCCTTCTCCAGAGCCAGGTATGCTACTGGAAGATGTGACTGCCCTTCTGGAGGTTTTTGCCCCACCAGCAAACAATGGCTCCCAAGAGCACCCCCTAATCTACTTCAGCACTTTAAAATCAGCTAATTTAGCCCAAACTGAACGAAGAGAGGTGGTGGATGAGCAGGTGAGACAGAAAAAAGGCAACCAAAGAACACCTATGTTAAGGAAAGAGAGGAGGAGGAGGCAAAAAGTCCCCCTTCTCCCTGTCACTGAAACTGTGGGACTGTCACTCTTGCTGTTAGAGAGGAAAAGCTTTGAACACTTCCATTTCACACTTTTTACCCTTAGCTGCTCCATTTTATATTGTATGTGTAGTTGTATTGAAGAGCTTCTGCTCATGCGTGGTAAGCTCGGTTCAGGGTTGAGAAGGAAATGCTTCTGAGAGCAAGAATTAAAAATGCTCTGAGAGAGGAAAAACAGATAATTTTTTTTCCACTCCTTCAGGTGTGTACGTGTAAGTGGTAAGACACATCTTGTGCTTTTACTTATGTAGAAAAGGAAAAGAATTTGTGTGGTGCATTTGTACTTTTTGCCCATGTTGGAGAGTTGTCGATGAGTCAGTATCAGAAAAGATTTATTTCATGTGAATTGTCTTGTGCGTTTGTGTAACTTGTTGATTTGAATCAACCATGCGTATGTGAAGCCAGGTAGCTTGACCACGGTTGATCACCATCTAGTGGCCATCGGTAAAATTCCTACTTTGACAGCAATGAAGAAAAGGACAATCTAAAGTAGAAAACATGTCAAAAGGCCTGTGGCACTGCTTCTCAAAGATGTATCTGATGATTGGTCTTTACCAAATAAAGTGTTTTAAATACCCCAAAAGCATGTTAAACATTATGCTGTCATCGTTTGTCCTACTTGAGTGCCTGTGTACACTGAGCACAGTGCTAACCAGCGGAAGGTGCTTGCCAAAGGCTCCCAAGACCTGTAGCAGTATGGCAGGATGAGCCCTGGTGCCAGTGACGCTTCCAGCTTGTTTTACTATCACCAGTGTTGCCGACCATGTATGCCTAATTGCAGAGCCTCATGGCCAAAAGGGACCTCCAGAGGTCAGGCAGGCTTGTGTCCCTCTTGCTCAGTGTCTGGCTAGCCTGCTTCCAGAGACATGCGGCAGTGGAGACGCTTCTTGTCTTTTCCAGGGCGTCATCACCTGCCCTGAGAGAAAGTCCTTCCTGACATCCACCCTTGAGGGGTCTGAATACTATTTGGTTTTCTGTCTAGTTCCTTCCCCTTGGGACGTTTCACTGAGTGCTGTTGTCACACTCCTCTCTTCTGTGTCTTTCCTGATGGGCAATCTCCAAGGCTGGACACAGTTCTCCAACTGGGAGAGTAACAACACTGCAAAGAGTGTAAGGGCTGCTGCACAAATCTTACACATTATATTCTTACTCATACATCACAGCCTTGCATCTGCAGTTTTCACCATAGCAGAAACTGTCAGCTCACTGGAACTGTCAGCTCCTGTCCAGCCTGTGATTCACAGTAACTGCAGCTCTTTATCTGCTGAACTGCTTCCTAAGTAGGTTTTTCTTTTCTCCTTTTGTGTTTGCACAGTTCATTACTCCTACTTAAACGCAGAACTTTGCACCTGTCACTGTCTAATAGCATCCTGTGTTTTTTTGAGACCGTAGTTGCAATTTGTCAACTTAATTTTGTCCTCTCAGCTTCATGTCATCTGGAAATATAATAACCAGACTTTATTTCATTTTCCAATTTGTTAATGAAAACATTGAATATTGCCAAATGCAGGGCACACTGGTGAAATCCCAGCTCAGTGACTCCCCCTACTCTGACAGTAAATCATCTCCACTCTGAGCACCAGCAAAAATAGTTTCTTCCAGACTGTTTCCTTAGCATGTCATCTCAGACAGTGTCAAAACTTCTTCTGGAGTTCATGTACAAGCCTGTTAATTTGTTGTAGTAGGAAATCAGAATGATCTGGCATCATATGTAGCTGATAGATCCATACTGTCTGGTACTCATCTGTATTCATCTTCTATAGACTTATAATCTGATTGTCTGTTTCAGTATTTTTCTGAGATGTACATTAATGTGCCTGTTGATTTATTGTTCCTCCATTTTTTGCATATATATATATATACACACTTATATATACATAAATATATATCATAGAATCCTACAATCATAGAATGGTTTGGGTTGGAAGGGACCTTGAAGATCATCTAATTCCACCCCCCCTGCCATAGGCAGGGACACCTTCCACTACACCTGGTTCCTTAAAACCCCATCCAACCTAGTCTTGAACACTTCCAAGGACAGAACAGCTACAACTTCTCTGGGCAACTTGTTCCAGTGTCTCACCACCCACATCGTGAAGAGTTTTTTCCTTATGTCCAGTCTAAACCTACCCTCTTTCATCTTAAATCCATTCCCCCCCTCCCCGTCCTCCCCGTCCCATCTCTACATGCCTTTGTAAAAAAGTCCCTCTCCAGATATCTTGTAGGCACCTTTAGGTACTGGAAGCTGCTCTAAGGTCTCCCTGGAGCCTTCTCTTCTTCATGGTGAACAAGACCAGCTTTCCCTGTGTGTCTTCATAGGAGAGGTGCTCCAGCGCTCTGAGCATCTTTGTGGCCTCCTCTGGACTCACTACAACAGGTCTGTGTCCCTCTTGTGTTGGGGGCTCCGGAGCTTAATGCAGTACTGCAGGTGAGGTCTCATGAGAACAGGGTAGAGTATATACATATGGAGAGAGAGAAAGAGGATATATGTATCTATACCTTCTTGTATCACCATGTATGTTCTCCTCTGGTACTCTTCTCATCCTCCCCTAGGCTAGCTCTGAGGTTTCACCATTCAGTTCCTTGGTGCCCTATGCTGAAGTTCATCAGGTCCATCTAATTTGAAAGTGATGATTTATCTAGGTGCCTTCTAGGTAATTCAGGGTTTCAGCAACCGTGACAGTATCTGCTGTGTTTTGCTCTGGCTATAATAAACAAAGCAGTACATCAGTGACAACAATGAAATCAATGGAAGTTGTTCTCATGTCCGTACTAACCTCTCCATGTTTCTGTAAGCAAATGCAAAGCCTGGAGTGAGAGCACCCTTTGTTTCCCAGATTATTTTGGAAACAGTCGGGCTGGTTGGTTTTAGATTTCATCTTCAAGGTGGCTTACTAATCTTTTCACTCCTCTTTCTTTGGTTGCTAATAGAGGTGTATATAAACCTGCTCCCTAGACAGCTTTTGGAGAAGTGTGCTACAGCAGGGAGAGGAAGCCAGTTGCAATTCTTGCTACCATATCAACACACCTGCCTTTCCAGGACCTTACAGCACCAAAGGCTGGGATTTTCTTCAAGGGATTATCTCATAACTTTAATGTAATTTCTGACTTGGTCAGGTAGTTGTTGCTCCTGGTCTGCTGGATGTATTTGTTCCACTTACACCTTGAAAGAGAGAGCATGGCCTGTTGGAAGTTACCTCCAATCACAACATAAAGCAGGAGGTTTCCACATGTGTTCAGTGCAGCCAGTGGCCGGGAGATGATATAAGCAGAGTGGATTTGTTTTTCCGTGTGACAGCTGAATGGACACAACCGTAGTTCAACCCGAGCCACACGAAAGATGTGGAAGGGGAGGAAGCACACGTAGAAGACCACCAAGAGGACAATGGCAAGTCTGCGAGCCTTTAGTTTGTAGCAAGCCCGTGTGTGGGGCCCAGTAACCAAGGTGTAAATAATGGGCACATAGCACAAAGTCACAGTCAGCAAGGGCAAGAAGAAGCCCAGGCTGGTCAGCAGCCAGATATACCACCTGATTGTGCCCAGGTTTTCAGAGCTGGTAAGGTCAAGGCATAAGGATCTGTTTTGTTCCTCTTTTGAAGAGATTAAGAAGTTGATGGGGATGACAACTGCCAGTGAGATCACCCAAATGGCTGCACAAGCCACTGCTGTCCACCGCTTCTTCTGGATGTGGAAGAACTTCATAGGGTGGACAATCACCACATAGCGGAGGACACTGGAACAGGTAAGGAAGAGGATGCTGCTGTACAAATTGAAGTGGAAGCCAAAGCGGATGAACCTGCACATGAAGTTACCAAAGATCCAGTGCTCCCCGTTGGCATAGTAGTGTATCAGGAAGGGCAGGCTGGTGAGGTAAAGCAGGTCTGTGAATGCAAGGTTCAGTATGATTATGGTGCTGCTCTTCCAAGGTCTCATCTTGAAGCTGTAAAAACAAATTGCAATGACGTTTCCTGGGAAGCCCACCAGGAAGATAATGCTGTACATAATGGGGAGGTACAAAGTCTTCAGACCAACTTGCACGTCAGTGCAGTTGAGAAAATCACCTTCAGCGTGCTGCCAGGTGGTGGGGTTGGCTAAGTTGTCATTAGTTGCGTTCATGTTTTTCCCTTGGTGCTTAAGAGAGAGAAAAATGTTTAGTGTTCTCTGGCAGATAAGACCTTCTCATAGGTCATTAAAAACAACTAATAACCAGATCTTTTCTTTTAACTTCCCATTAGTGCCACTATTAAAGTCCTTTTATTGAATAAGAAAAGGCTTCGCTGCTTTGATAGGAATTGATCCTGATCTAGAGGCCTTTTATCAAATCTAGGTAGAGATAGGTAATTTATTTTAAAATGCATATTTTCAGGGAAGGATCTGCACAGACACAGTGAAGTTGTAATATAAGGGATTCCCAGCCCTACAGTGTGTGATGTGTGCCCCCTGAAAGTTCACTTTCTGCTCTCATAAGGAGTCAACATAGTCATGTTGTGCTACTGACCAAAAGTATAGAGAGGAATGTCCAGAACGTAACTCTCCATGGAAGTTACTTGCAGCCTTCTCAGTTAAGTGGAAAACAAGGCAGATATTGAAATGTTTTCATATTCTTTTTGATACTGGAGTCGGTTAACATTTTTCTCCCTGCTCCTTGGAAACAACTGATAGAGGAATACTTCATTCTTTTAGTTCACTAACAAGATTGATGCTGCAAAGAAATAGGTTATTTTTAGGCTTGTCATTAGCTACTATGTAAATTTCTCACCCTGTAAAATGGTGGTTTGCATTGACATTAGTCTTAGATAGATAGAAGTTTTCTGAAAGATGAGAATAAATGCATTCAACTTTACAAAGCAGCCAGTTGCATGCTTTAATATGGAAGTTGAGCAGGATTCAAGGGAAGTAAAGGTAGCCCAGTATATAGTCTCTACAACAGAAAATATGGGGCCACTGAAGCACATGGCAAAAAACCACTAGCATGGCATGCAGTGCATGCGTTTGTGTGAATGCCGCCTTTCTTTTTTAAAGTGGAGCAAACGTTTTGATGGAAAAAAATGAGTAAGTATCTGGCGCATTTTTTTTTCCATAGGAATGTAACTTCTCACAGGATGATTCCCGTCCTCAAATTACTGTAACCTGGATCTGTTAAAATGGATCCTACTGAATCACCGCTTCTATTTCCTGTTCTACTCTGAATTTTCTTGATATAGCTTCTACCCTCACTCACTTGTGGGATTACACAGAGACAGGTTGCAGGATTTGAATTCAGATTTGTGTAGAACATTTGGTTCAAACATATTTAAAATGCTTTGAAACCTGAAGCTGGAGCTTGAGGAGAAGCATGCCAAACACCGGCATTTGTTTTTAAAGAGCAAAACAGCTTCAAACCTCTTTTCATGGCTGGGGATGGTGCAGGGGATGGCTTGAGTAAATCCAGTGGCTATAATTCAGTAAAGAGGTAATACAGTGGTACCATGGTATCCCCAAACAAACTTGAAGCATCTGGTGTGGCTAATGGTTAACCCAGCTAACAGCAAAGGCCCTATCCTGCTGTATCAGGTTATAGCTTTCTGTCTGACTCTGGAAGTACCAGGGCTGTGCACGCCTCAGTATTTACAGTGCATAGCTATTAAGAAAGCATGGCTGGGTGCTGCTCCCCCCATCACTTCCTTTGTGGTTTTGTAGGGCTGTTGTCAGCTTTTATTCCACCAATCAGTGTGCTGCTGCAGCAAAGCTATAGGGGCTGGAGAGCAAATACCTATGATGATGGAAGAGTGTGGCAGTGGCACTCAGCTGCTGCAGTTCCTGTAGAAAGACACATGCTATCAGGTGCTTTCAGAGCCGTCTCCTTTGCTATGGGTGATGTTAGGGCTGTATTTGGGTCAAGGAACTCACTCACAGGCCAGACCACCCCACAGGCCCTGCACTGGGAAGTGGGGACAAATACTGTAAGAAAAGCACAGGGGTGTGGGTTCTTGGTTCTGCACTGCCCTAAGATTGCATACAACCTAACAGGTTACCACAGGGACTAAAGAAAGGAGACAACAAGTCTTCGCTGTTTGCTTATTATTCTGCTGTCTGAATTACAAATAGAATTTAGAAGAAACTTAAATCTAATTAAGGCAGAGTTTGTACTGTGGCAGATTTTATCACACTAAGTAATTGGCCATAATGGGACTTCTGCAGCCCAAGCTGAGGGTAAATGATATATGCTGTAGACACATAATGAACTTTAAATAAATTATCCAAGAGCAGAACTCGTAATAAAAGGGAACTAGCATATTGAAATAGAAACCCTCTTGCAGTCTTAATGGTGGAGTCACTGCTCTATTACATGGTATTCTTTACTGTAACCAATTGATTGGACTCACTTTAAAAAATGTTGTGATTCCATGTCTTTAATTGCAGTCACGTATAAGGGAAACTTGTCTGCTCCTGCATTGTGATAATTTAATTAGAGCCTGCTGGAAATAAAAGCCAAATGGCTGCAGCCATGGCAAAGTAACCTAATGCCTGTAATTGGACCATATTTCACACAGATGTGTTGCTGAATAAATTAAATAGGTTTGGCTCACAGCGTTCGACTCTTCCGCTAGCTCAGATTTAAGAGACACAAATGATATATTCAGAGATGAAGATACGAGACCTGCTTCCCTTACCCTTTATAATTCAGGGATGTGTTTTCATGTGGAAAGAGTATGTGCATTTAACTTGAGTATTGAATGCATCCCAGATAAGTTTAATTTGTTCTATGCTTGCATCATCCTGTAACCCTTTGCTCATCTCTCTCCGTTCTGCCCTGCCTCTAAGTTCACATCTTTAAATCAAAATATGCATTTTACCTGTAAATCTTTGGTGTTGTCTTCTTTCCTCTTCATAGCCTGTTCCTTACATACCCTACTCCAGCTGGCAGAGTTTGCTTTTAAATTCCACAGGTTTGTGCAGTGAGACTGTCTGGGAAAGCCATAGCAACCAGCCCAGGCTATCGAGCAGGCTGGGGAAATGCTCTGCCTCTGTTCCCAGGTCTCTGCCACGTGAATGCAGTGTGGGCTCCTTGGTGCTGAGCAAGAGCAGCTCTGACCCCTCTTGCCTACTTGCAGGCTGGCTGTTACGTCCCTCGTGGAGGGGCGTGCTGGTGTCAGTTATCTTCCTGTCTGGCCTGTCACCTGCATGGGATTTGGGGACCTGCCCTATGTCACTCACAAAGTTGGTTGGGACTGCCTGTAACCTGAACTATTTGGCTGGAATGGTTTGTTACAGGTGCTTCCAGCCTTCAGTGAGAGAGGAAGGTCAGCAGCACTCAGGCAGGGATAAGCAGCACCGCTGCAGTGCTCGCCTGAAGGAATATGTCCCTGAGTGCCAGCGCACACTATGGGGAAGGTGGAAGATGGGGAGAGAGGTGAGGAGTGAGCAGTGTTTTGAATTGGAAGAAACTGCACTGCAGAGGGCTTGGTGGGTGCTAGGAGCAGCAATCAACCACTTGCATCCCAAGGAGGGCAAAGGTACCCAAGAGCTCCAAACTGGGAGCTTGGTTGAATTAGCTGCAGTTTCTGCAGGGAGGGACCTGACTCTGAGAAGAGCAAGAATTGCACAGTCAGGGCACAAGCAGGGTCTTGTGGCTGGAATAGTATCTACAACCATGTGCTTGTGAGGTCAACCTGGCTGGAGAACAGCTTTCCTGGAGAGGAGAACTGGCTGATGCGCAAACTATCCTGACCATATTACATGGGCAATACTAATTTCTCCTGAAGTGATTTGTACAGAGGTCAAAGGAATGAAGAAAATGCAGAATCATAGAATGGTTTGGGTGAGAAGGGAGCTTAAAGCTCATCCAGTTCCAACTCTCCTGCCGTGGGCAGGAACACCTTCCACTAGAGCAGGTTGCTCAAAGGCCTGTCTAACCTGGCCTTGAACACTGCCAGGGATGGGACATCCACAGCTTCTCTGGGCAAACTGTGCCAGTGCCTCACCACCCTCACAGTAAAGAACTTCTACCCAATATCTAATCTAAATCTACCCTCTTTCATCTTAAATCCATTCTTCCCTTGTCTTATCACTACAGACCCTTGTAAAATGTCCCTCTTCAGATTTTTTATAGACCCCTTCATGTACTGGAAGCTGCTCTAAGGTCTCCCCAGAGCCTTCTCTTTTCCAGGCTGAACAAGTCCAACTCTCTCAGCCTGTCTTCATAGAAGAGGTGCCCCAGCCCTCTGATCACCTTCATATCCCTCCTCTGGACCCTCTCAAACAGGTCCACATCCTTCTTGTGTTGGGGGCTCCAGACCTGAACACAGCACTGCAGGTGAGGTCTCAAGACTGGAGCAGAGGGGGACAATCACCTCCTTGACCTGCTGGTCACAAAGCAGCCCAGAATATGGTTGGATTTCTGGGCTGCGTGTGCACATTGCTGGGTCATGTTGAGTGTGAACCAGCGCCCCAAGTCCTTCTCAGGGCTGCTCTCAATCCAGTCTCCACCCAACCTGTGTTTGTGCTTGGGATTGCCCAAACCCAGGTGCACGACCTTGCACTTGGCTTTATTGAACTTCATGTTTGGCACTGGCCACCTCTCAAGCATGTTGAGGTTGCTCTGTGTGGCATCCCTTCCCTCCAGCATTCTGAAGTCCCCTAATATCCAGGTAATAAAGTGGAAGACAGACCAGTACTTCCTTGAATGTGATGGCCAACCCTTAAGAAGGGGCTAGCAGGAATCTCCTCTCTTTTTGGAGAGGGAAGAAGGGCACAGACACCTTGTGGGTTGCCCTACAACAGGTGTTTTACTTGCTTTGCACACTGAACTGTGAGAAGCATGGGCTTATCCAAAGGTGCCAGGGTAATTACGGTGTGGAAGTTAACGATTTTATGGGTTGACTCAGCTTTCCTGTGTATGGTGCTAGCTGAGCCACTATTTACACATTTTGCTTAATCTTCCCTCCCTCTTCCTTTTCAACAGGTTTTGACTCTTGGGTTAACTGTGCTCCATTGACTTTGACCTTGTTTCAATGTGGCGATCTTTACACGAGTTGCGTGCTTCTCTTTTTCTTTTCCTATTTCTTTCCCCCGGAAGAAAACACTTTCAAAGACATAAGCATTCCAGATTTGATTTTGAATTAAATATTTACGAGCTTTTATGAACAGATAGGAAAGTTATTATCTTGAGAGGGAAATGTTTAGATGAGGCTGGAAAGAACTTGAATGTTTTCCAACACTGAAGTTAATTTCAGATCTCATTTGAAGCTATTATTTACTTTCTCATAATGATAAGAGATGTGAACTTGGAAACATGAGCAATTATGTACTGTGTAATGTAGTGAATCAGACTCAGATTATTTAGTAAATATAACTTTTAAAATGTCTGTTCTGTTTCTTTACCTGATGTTTTCATTATTTGCCATCTTCACATGAATGACTTTCAGCTTACTGGTCATACGCAATCTGTTCTCCTTAACTCTTTGTGGTGTAAATAAGTTTGGCCTCCTTGTACGTGAACATTACTTTTGGACTTCTAAATACAAATATTCATAAACAAACTGGCAGCTGTCAACATATCCCTGAGTAACAGCTAACACAAGCCACCATTCTTTAGAGAAAGAGTTGAAACCACTTTTTACTGTGTGACTAGCTACCAGGTAGTCTTAATTTCAGTACTCCGCATCATGGAAAATGTACAATCTGCAAAATGCAAAAACACCTTTGAAAAGGGCATATGCGGAGTCATGGACAGACCAGGGGTGTGAAGCTGATGCTCTCAGAAGTCCCAGTTTACCCCTGCACACATAGGTGAAGATTTTTCCGCATTTTGTTTAGAAGTTCCTGTCAATCTATAAAGGATATAAAATTTATTGCTCATTTTTTGTGGGTTTTTTTGTTTGTTTTGGTTCTTTTTATGAATTGTTTGGTATTTATCTGCTCTTGTATGGTATTTTTGAGTAAGAATGGATATTGCTCTGCCATTGTAATTCAAATTGTATTAAAACAAGATTATTACTTGAATATGTCATCTCAGGCTTGGTGTTTGCAGTTCAGGAAAAGAATCTGATAAATTGTGAGGAGGTGGAAAAGAGCTTCAGGAATGAATTGGAGTACTGGGAGGTGCTCAGAATTCCCAGTAACTTGTATTCAGTGCCTTTTTTTTTTTATTATTCCTTTCCTTTTTTTTTTAATTGGAGGCAAATCTTGATTTGAAGAGAATCCTCTTACTCCTTTGATAGCCTGTTCCAAAGATGAATCATGCCCACAGTTGAAATCATGTCCTTAGATTTTAATATGACTCTAGTTTGTGCTTCCACCCTTTCAACTTCTTGGTAAGTGTCTCTCCTATAAGGAGAGAGAGCCCATTTAGCATGGCTCTTATGTTTTTGTGGAAGTATTTAAAAATTATAATCCAGTCACCTTTAGTACTTCTTCCTGATGAGGTTGGTAGCTTAGGACACCTTATGATAGCATCTGGGTTGCTCCAACCCATTATTTTTCCTCCCATTTGCCTTGTTGGTTAGAACATGACAGTTTTTATACATGCAGTGGAGACATTTTAAAGGCCTGCCACTGAAATGTGTTCACTGATTGTTATCGATGTGATTTAAAACATGCACAACACATGCATGTGTCTTCATTCACACCCACAGTTTCTCCTTTGGGAACACTTTCCTTTTCCTTTGATTCTGTGTAGTATTCGCAGGGTGCAGTTGTCTCATGAGAGTTGGCAGCTTGGCAATTTTCATCACAGAAGCATCTAGACCATGCATTCTTCTGGCCATTCATTCCCCTTCCTGCACTGACTACTTCCTTCCAGTGCCCAGCAGGAAACTCAGACTGCTAAAATGTGATGCCAGTGCCTCTGTTTTTTCTCTTGGTATTACACCTTTGTCCCCAGGGGAGTACTGGTGTACCTGCAGGACCTGGCAAGGTAGGTGGGTGCACACTGGATTGATGCTCACCTTCCTGTGCATGGCAGCTCTGCAAGACAGATGTTTATATTCTGAAGACATATGTCTGTTTTCAGCTTATTTTCCCATGTTTTGTAATTGTTTATTGAAGTGGAAAAAACAAAACTAGCACCATAATTGGAGAATGCTGAAAATATCCATGGGCTCTTGCACAAGAAGATATGCAGTAGGTACATTAATCTTTGATATGTTTTATATGTAGCACTTCAGATTCAGTAGGATTGTAGTGCTATGGCAAATTAGGCAACTACTGCAGAACATATATTTCAGGGACTGGTTATCATATATCACACCCAAGGGCCCACAGTCTGTGTCTTGACTAGAAGTTCATTCTTCTTAGTTTTATTCTCTGCTTTCACTTCAGCTTTCAAGAGTTTGACATTTTTTTCTATCTATCTCTGATACAGCACTGAGAAAATCCTCCTTCCTTGTTTGTCCTACAGCCTGCTGAAGGTTTCTCTTATCTTTCAGGGTGTGAGTTCTGATGAGGGTGGATGTTACTGATGGGTCTTTTTGCAGCTCAGCTGAGTCCTCCAAAGTTATTTCCTCATTCGCCCTCCTCTTATTGGGTTTGCAGTGTGAGTTACTTACATGCTCAGTTCAGAGTAGTTAAGGACAAACAGCTTTTCTTTAGCTGCAGACATCCTGTTTAGGCAAAACAAGACCAGCATTAATGAGGAAAGGCAAGAAGGAGACAGAGGTGACCAGCAGACAGGCAGGGAAGTGAAGCATGGATCTCACTGGGAAGGGAGGAAATTGAAGCTCAGGAAGCCCATCTCACGATATGTGAAAGCTAGCTTGGGCAAAAAGCAGACACTGCCATGGACTGCCTTTGTCCTTATGTCCTTTCATTGAATGATGAAAATAAAGATCTTGCATATAACATCCTTACCCAGCACAGGCACCAGTCACCAGACACTGAGCGTGCTTAGTGGAAGAGTAGATGGCAGTACAGATCTAGGTGTGACAGTCACCTCTCGTCAAACCTTTCTTGGTCCTGAGCAGTGCCTGAGCCAGTCTGCTGGTGTCTGCGCATTCTTCCCCTTGCCCATGGGCCAGCTGGTATTCACAAAGGCCTGTGTTTTCCCTTATTCCCTCTGTTGCTGTCTTTTTCCAGTTAAAAACTAAAATATCATGCAGACAAGTTTTATGGGAAGTGCATGGTAAGTGAAAACTTTTCTCCATAAAGACAGGCAGGTGGTAGAACAGGTCACCCGGAGAGGCCCTGGGGATTTTCAAGTCCTAGCTGGACACAGCCCTGAGAAATCTGGCCTGAAATTAGTGCCCAACCTGCTCTGAGCAGGCAATTGGAGGCCTCCTGATGTCCCTTCCAACCTGCTTGATTCCAGTACCTTACAGTCCCTGAAGTCTGCAAGATGTAAGAGTAAAGGGTAAGATCAAACAGCCACCATTTCAAGACAAAGAAGTATCTAAATATCCCATTGCTTCAGGTAAGACAAATCATGATATAGCAAAGCTATCCTAGACCTCATCCAATCCTTACCACGGCTAGAGACTCCCACTTACCAGCCAGGCTTGTCTGTCCAATCCCTGTTTCTCAGGAGTCTTGAACACCGCAAAACTGAAGCTGAAATAGCTTTATTTTCCTATT